CAGCCTACATTAAATAAAAAATAATAATGTTAGTTTTGTGTGATATGAACTTGATCAGGTCGTATATTTTATAGTCTGATCTAGCGATGAACCAAAAAAAAAAAAAGTCCGAATATTATAAGCTAAATGAATACAATGGGTTGAACGATTTCAACGGTATTGTGTAAAAGAGATGTGGATCTTTTTGTAAAGGCTTCATAATTAAGGGAAAAAAAAAAATTAAACCCCGCCGCTATTACCAGTTGAAATCCCATAAAATAAATAAATTGATTAACATTAATTCAGAAAAAGCCCCAAAAATCTACGTTTCGAAATTTTACTGGAGAGGAAATGTTGAAAGTATTAGTCGACAACATCTTTTTTTCGTTAACTTTTAAGAGAAAATAAAAGGACAAACCACAAGTCTCATTTTTTTGTGTTTGCCTTTTTAATCTAACTATTTCCATATTTAGTAGAGACATGTCTATTATTGATGAAAGTATTACACTATTGTTGTTCCATCTCGTAACTAATGTGTAAGTTGCAAAATACACAAAATCAAACTTCAAGCTCCAACAAGAACCCTACTGAAATAAATTTGAACTCTATAAATTATTATCTTTTGTGAGCACCAAATTCTAACTGGACTTTACCCAAGATGGTTTAGTTATAAGTTTGAAATTACAACTCAAATTACAAGGTTCTCTTTTCTTCAAATTTCTAGATATTTATTGACATATGTGTTTACAACGAACAGAATTCTTATTTTGAAACGAAACGAGTATTTTAAATATGTCGGGAGCGATAAACATGATTAAGAATTTTAACTCATTCCAGAGTTGAAGAAAAATCCGAAGACCCCACAGCGTTACCCTTTTCTTTTAAGTGTAGGATGTAACCAGGGAAATAATAGTTCATGATTCTAGGATGACCTAAAAAGAGACTACTAGCCTAATCCACTAATGATCGAATTTTCTCTGATTGGGATGAATGGCATCATTATTGATGCTACTATAGTTGATTAAGACCTAATCAACTTAATTATATCTCTGTCCCGGATGGATGGACCGTTACAATTCTGTCTATTACATTGAAAAGTAGTTAATGATAGTTGTATTCCTTTGGTGACATAAATATTTGTACATCGCTAGAATTTCCCTGCACTCGACCAGTCAGAAAAACTCTTTAAAAATGATTTGATCGGGTCTATTTGATAAAACTCTTCTTTGGGAAAAGCCTTCAATGGTTAGAAAAATGTAAGTTTTCATGAGGTAAATTACATGGTCTATCTTCCACCTTTCCACATAGTAAAAAGCCGACCATATAATTTCATGATTACAGGTTGACGGTCTCATGACCGTGGAGATTTAATCATATTATCAGAATGTGTGACGTAAATTCATGAACCGTAATTAAGCTCGGTTCTTCTGGCAGTAACTTACATAGGTACGTTACATTGTCAAAAAAATCCAAGGGGCCGATTTGGCCAACAAAAGAATCGATGATAATTGAATAAGGGTAGGCAAAGGGTAGCTGCCTGTCGAGCCAAATCTGTCTCAGATTCTGTTTTTATATTCATGGAATGGGACCAATGTAGTATGGCTCAAACAGAACCACCCCATCACAACCAAAGTGATTGCAACCAAAGTGATTGTGGTGAAGTGGAGGGGACTCTTCTTCCTCTAATCATAGATTGAGGGTTCGAATTTTGTCATGGACATAAAGTAATCTTAAATACTTTGGCCGTCTGTTCCACCCATTGAAGTGCCTATAATTCAACGAGTGGGATTAGTCACTGTTGTCGACGGTGGACACCCTGCAAATATGTAAAAAAAAAAAAAAGAAAAAAGAGGGGGATTTTTCCAGTCACTAAGTTTTAGTTCTTTCAGCCATAAGTTTTTAATTTTGACTATTTTGTCCTTGTTATTTGACCAAACCAAGTTGAAGGGGAGAGAGAGGGAGAGGGGGAGAGAGAGAGAGAGAAAATAAACTACTCGAACCGAATTGGGCAAGCCATCCGGTCTGATTCACGTGAGAACGAACAAAGTATTAATTTTTATTTTAATACTAGTTTATTCGCAGTATCATTGCATGTTGAATACCTCGTACTTTAAATATTATTAACAATATTTATACTTTAGTGCTTAAACTCTTAACTTTATATTTACTTGAAAATAAACAAGTAATTAATTTTTATTTGAAAATAAATTAAAGATTATTCGTTAAGTTAATTTATTTGAATTGATATAAAAATATAAAATTTTACTTCAATCATTATTTTTAAGATAATTTTTAGTTAAAAATAATAATTATACATTTATATAAAAAATAATAACTGTACTACAAAGATTGTGACAAAAATGTGCAAACAGATTAACTATTTTTTGTACTACGAAGAATAAAGATTTAAAAAATAGTAATATAACTCAAAAATAGTAGTTTACTTAATATAACTCAAATAATAAATTATTCATAAATTTAATGAATAAAGATTTTAATGACCTAAAAACTAGATTAACTAATTACAAAAAAAATCTAAAAATTTTAAAAATAGTAATGAATTCGGTTGATAATTTTTTTTAATTTTTAGACCTTTCTAAATAACAAATATAGCTATTTTTTAATTAAAAAAATAAAAAAAAAAATCTAAAAATAAAAAAATAGCAATGAATCCAATTGATATATTTTTTTTAATTTTTATACTTTTTTAAATAAAAAATATTACTATTTTTTAAATTACAAAAAAGAACGAAAAAAACAAAAAATCTAAAAATTAAAAAAAATGGGCATGACCGGACCGGTTCATTATATCGGACCGACCGACCGTGCAATCAAACCGTCCCGAATTAACCCGGGATGGGTGAACCGCCCGCCCACTTGTTTGCCCGAATGGGTAATGCACCCGTCCCGACTTAACTCGGGACGGTTTCGGTCGACCGACCGTGCAATGAAACCGTCCCGAGTTAATTCGGAATGGGTGGACAACTCGAGACGGGCAATGAATCCGTTCGGACAAACAAATCGGCCGGCGGTCCACCCATCCCGGGTTAACTCAGGACGGTTTGATTGCACGGTCGGTCGTTTTTTTTTTTTTTTAGTTTTCTCTCTAGTCAGTTTATTCAAGTTGAAAAAATAACATAGGTAAAATGGTCCAAATTAAAAATTTGTGGTTGAAAGAATTAAAGTTAGTAGCTTGAAAAACTAACGCAGAAAAAAAAAACCACCCCATCACAAATAATCAAATTTTTAAACTACAAAGAAAAAATTAATTAAAAAATTCAGCTGATAGAATCCCGTATAGAGATTGATCAGTCAGTTCATGAGCATCTCTTCCTTCGTCTCTTACTAACCAAATAGTTATGGCTCTGACTAATTTTGGGTTTATTTGGGGGCCATTTTGAGCCATTGCTGAGTTGTGCAGATCGTTGCACAGAATCTGGGACCCCTTTTTTTTTGCTTAACATTTTGTTTCTTAAAAAATTTCCTCATGTGAATCAATACTTTCGATCATCTTCCAGCTCACAAAATTGTCATTTCTCCCCAGCCTCACCACTTGTTTGATTTAATTGGCATTTCCTCATTATATTTCCTAGGAATATCAGATCTCTCCTCCCCCACCTTGATCTCTCAAGTTGCCATATGATCCATTTCTGATGTGAAGTTGGGTTGATTACCCCTCAGAGGCTCAGAAAGCGGTCCGTTAGTCTCAGTTAAAACCTAAAAATATTTTACTCTCGACAGTTATGAGTCTCGCATCAAGGTAAAAAATTAGTGTAAATGTAGTATGACTTAAAAGTGCCTTCAATGAAGTCAATCACGCTCACAATACTTTATAGTCTTAACCAAAAAAACTAAGGAAAATCAAAAGGATTACATTTCTTAAAGAGCATTTTACATGAATGGTACGTATATGTCAAACACTTGCTGAACTTTCGTTGAATGCTTTTCACCTTGACACTTAACTTAGTATGTTCTTCCAAATATTAAAGAGTTGAATGCAGAAATCAAAGCATATGTATCTTTAACAGAAAGTTGAATTCCCTAAAGATAATATTATCAGTAAAGAAGAAAAAAAAAACTAGGTTCCTTCTTTTTTACCTAAAGGAAGAATATACAAAGTTGTCTTTTTTTGTTTTGCTTGGGGCAAAAAATTAAAGAGTAAGTCCAAGCAAATATTTGATAATATTTTGTTGTGAGAATAAGAGCCGGGTCTCTCGGATCCTGTCCCGTGAGGCTGTGACCAAACTACAAAAGAGAACTCTACATAGATGGACCATCAATAAGATCCAAAGCTCCTTCCTTTATCTTTTGCTTTCTTCTTTTTTTAATATATTCAAAACCAAAACATAATCGGCTAAATTTGCTTTCAAGATCTAAAGACTTCACTTCATCATCAACAATCAACAAAAGGAGACTCTTAACATGGTATTAGGAGACTCTAAGTATCAATATATAAGACCTATGGGCTACTCCTTTCATAGCCAATTGGTTTTGAGTCGGAAATTCATGGAGCTCAATATATAAGCCTCATGGGCTACTCCCCTCATAGCCAATTGGTTTTGAGTCGGAAACTCATTCGGAAATCCATGGGCTCAATATATAAGTCTCATGGACTACTCCCCTCATAGCCAATTGGTTTTGAATCGGAAACCTACGTGCTCAATATATAAGACCCATGGGCTATTCCCCTCATAACGAATTGGTTTTGAATCGAAAACCCATGAGCTTCTATATGGTATCAGAGCCAGCCCGCTGACATTCGTACTCTAAAAAGCCCAACGAAACCAATTGGTTATAAAGGGAGTAGCCCATGAATCTTATATATTCATACTCAGAATCTTCCAATACCGATGTGGGATTAGGACTCTTTAATAATTCTTTCTTTTATAAAAAAGAAAAAAAAAGAGTATGAATCTTATATATTCATACTCAGCGTCTTCCAATACCGATGTGGGATTGGGACTCTTTAATAATTCTTTCTTTTATAAAAAAGAAAAAAAAAGAGTAAAAATATACAGAAGTGAAAACGAATAATATCTTTAATTAATCAATAGTTCACTACATCTGGAAATGTCCCCATCTCTCCCTTTCAATACTTCCCCTATCACTAACATAATAAGTTCAATATGGCACTCTCATTTCCCCCAAAGGAGTGAAAGAAAAATATGAAGACTTTCCACATTAATAAGTGAAAGAAAAATAGCATTTCTAAAAAGGCCCTAAATTCTAAAATAGCAAACCAACTTTCATAATCATATACCATTGCTAATAAAATTATAATGTTGAAGAAGCCTATTGGCTTCCCTAAGACCACTAAAATACGCACCATGAGTTGTTGAATAATGAGTTCTATGTGTTGCTTCCCCTGCAAACAGAATTTGAAGCTGCGGAGATGATGATGATGAACTTGAAACCGAATTGTTAAACTTTGGCAATGGCTCTGCCATGGCGTCCAAATCATCCCCACTTGATCCAACAGCAACGTAACTGTAGGAGCCCCAGAACAGGGGATTGGTCCCCCATCTGCTCTTCAAAATTTTGTCAAATTTCACACATTTTGGAAGTAACCCCTCTTCAGAATTGGCATCCCCATTGCATAATTGATGGGAGTTTGAGTTTGATTTGATTTGGCTCCCTGATTTGGACAATAAATTTGACACTGTTGCGGAGACCCCATCAAGGATATCATCATCATTCATGGATTCTAGCTGCAGAGCTTCTTCACCTGCAAACCAAGATAAAAGAACACTGGAATTGCTATAAATTGGTGCTAAAGTTGCTGTCTTTCTCATCCACCATGGGATTTTTGAACTTTTTGAATTCGGGTTGCCTGATTGGTGGAAAACCAACTGCAAGCTTGGAAACTTCTTGGGAATCTTGCTGCTTTCATGATCATGTGTTGTTGGGCTTAATTGCAAGAACAGCTTGTTGACTACACCAAATCCAAGCTTTGTAATAGCTTCTGTTTTGAAATTTGGAAGTGGAGGATTGAACAAGCCGGATTCTTGGCGAATCCCCTGCTTCAGAACTCCCAGTGAAACAGTAACAATGACATGATCTGCTGACATGGTTGATCCATCAAGGAAATGTATGATAACAGGCCTAGTTCCATGCCCATTTTCAAAAACTCTATGGATTGATGATGATGATGATGGAGTACTATCTGCTGGCTGCCATTCGATTTTCGTGACCTTTCGGCCTAATTGAATCAGGCCAGAAGGCAAAACAGAAGCTAAAGAATCAACAACACTCAAGTAACCTTTTGCAATGGTTACTTCTTCACCAGGGAACATAATATACTCACTCTCTGCATTGTAATCCAGTGTATCCAAATCACCTGCAGAAGTGTATGTCCTCTGTGTGTTTTCATGCATTGCAAAAATGGCTTCTTGGAGTGCTCTTTTAGTCCAATTACCAAACAGTTTACCTTCATCTTCTTGCTCTTGCTGATGCACTGAATTCCAATAAGACTCAAGGCCCTTTCTAAGGTAAGAACCAATTCCAAGGTTTCCCTTCCCAGGGCCAGAAGATTTAGCAGCAGCAAGCTTGGCAAAGTTGACTTTGCTGAATTCAGTGTCTGGTACTGAATCATCATCTTCCTCAACAGATTTTCCCTGAGCAAAATCCATGAGTTTCTTGAACAGATTGGAAATTGGGTCAATGATAGATGGGCTCAACTCATGCCCACCTTCAGCAATGGTGATTGGATCATCAAGAGAATCCATACATTCCCATGGGTGGTCAGATTCCAGGGAATGGATATCTTGAGCAATCTTGTGAATTGGGCTGCCTTTAATTCCATGGATCCAAGTAGCACCCATCTCAATCCTGTCACCACCAAACTCTGAGGTGTTAATCCTGCCACCTATTCTTGTCCCTCCTTCCACAACACAAAGCTCAAACAAATCCTTAAAGCCAGCAGATTTGTAGAGCTTGTTGGCAGCTGTAATACCAGCCATTCCAGCTCCAATTATCACGATTTTCGGCTTCTTGCTCGGCATTTTTTCCGGTATCCCTCCAAGCTTTGTTCACCAGAAAACACTGGTAGAAACAAAAACAAGCAGAAAGACAAGTGTAGAGAAAGGAAAATTGAGAGGTTTTGTGATGAAGAAATGAAGAACTGTAAGGAAGGAGGGAAAGAAGGAATGAATATATAAAGACTTCAACACTTGGTTAATATTTGCATCGAGAGGACTTGCCCTTTGCCCCCTCTTTCTTTTCTTGTTTTTTAAATAACATAGTTTATTACACCTATCTTAATAAAAACAGGGCTTTACTTTTAAGTCTCCTACCACTGAAAACAGTAGTAAACCCACCAAGAAAAAAAGAAGAAAAAAAAAATCCCACAAAGAAAATAGAACTTGAAGTTCTTCCAACAATCTGGCTGGATTGATGCACAAATAATGAAACTGTGAGACTCAGTCAATCTACCACCATAATGTATGTACTTACAAAGCCATGAATGAGTTGATGAGTTATGAGTACTTAAGGCACAAAACAAACATCGACCATAAAAATATATCAAACGTTTTACTCAAGTATGTGTGTGAGTGTGTGTGATGCAAACACCAATAATAGGGAGATGATGCCTTTTACCAACCTCACATGTGAGATCAGGTAACCAGACGGCCCACCAAAATTCGACACTTTCGATGGTGCTGATTTTTAGTCCATCAGCTCTACACCTTATAGAGCTTATTAGTTATTAGCTCCCCACACACGGTCGATTTTCTAATTTTCTGTGAATTGTGATCGATCAGAACCCAGCTAATTTATTGAGATGATTGTACACTATTCATCAAATGTTTTGGAAGACATATGGAATTGATGCTCTCTCTCACTTTCGTGTTAATTTGTTTGTGACAATATCTATCACAAGAATATAAGTATGTTTAACATGTATGGCATGAGTTGTTTTCTCCGTAAACGTGTCTTGAACATATATAAACAACCCTAACTCCACTCTTAAATAGACACCTGTGTACACTGAGATTCAGTGACGGAACTAGGGGGGAGGGGGTCAAGGTGGTCAATCGACCCTCCGGCTAGCCAGATTAGTCGAATTTTTCTTTAGTAAGGTAGATAATTATATTTTCGACCTTGTAATTTAAAAGTTTTTATTTCCTCACCGCTCAGATGATAACATTTTTTCCTCAGTTCATATAATTACATTTTGAAATTTTTGTTTAAGAGACTCTGACTGCATGGAGGACATGATATATCGTTTCAATCATGCTAAGATAGGATTGGCCAACATGGGATTCTAAACTAAGATTAGTGGGGAATTTGTTCACCATTTTGGGTCACCTTTAAAGTTATCCTGATTTCAAAAATCTTTTTCAAAGGTGCAAACATATGAAATTTGTATAATCAAAATCACCCCCTTTAGATTGCTAGGTGTTTAAAAAGCAGACATTCTTCTTTGTTGGGGGATACCCCATTTGTTTTGGACCTATAAGGCGCATTTCGGGAGATAACATCATATCAAATTTGTATATCATCTTACCCCGTCTCTAAACCTTTACTCATCCGGGATATTTCACTATCCCACTCCAATTTTCACCAGGTATTGAGTTGTACCTAATAATTATCCTGTTCAAATCGAGTTAAACTAATTAGCTAGACGACTTTATGTTGTTAAAATACTTGTGTTTTGAGAACCGTATAGTTGTTATTGTCTGCATGATATGAAGGTTCAGCCAGTTGAAATCAGATTGTGATTGTGATATAATGTGATCCAAGTTGTATATTTTCGGAATATGATAGTATAGATTTTTAGGTCATGTGTTATAGGTATTTTATGGGTCCATTTCAAAAACAGTTCACTTTGTTAGCAAAAGTAATTAAGGCGGGAGCCATATATATTGAGTTCCCATCATTTAAAATACCTTTTTATAAAATTATTTTTCACCTAATATTTAACATATTAAACTATTAATACAAGACTGAAAGTGTAATCTTTTCATGAGCGCCATTTTACTTAAAAGACAAGATTAGTATCCAGAAATTGTTGTTGACGTATTTTTGTCTCATGACTTCCTAGACAAATATCTTTTTCATCCTTACTAGCTCCTGTCAATTACATATATCTAATCTAACAATGGATTAAGAAGCCAAGATAATCCTCCAATATTTTATATTTAAGTACGAAGCCCAAAGCGGGACAAAAAAAATTGTTACAATTAAAATTGGTTTGAATAGTTGAATGATTGGTAGGGTAATTGACCTAAACTTGACCACCTACTGTGGAAGAAAACCACATATCTATTTGTATGAACTTCATCGTAGTTATAAATAGGTAACGTGTACGTATTAGTATGAGTAATGTTAAAAATTTGTATGGCAGGCAAGATTAGATGAGTCTTAATTACCCAAAAAATTAGATTAGCTCAACATTTATTTTGTTTATTTATTATTTTAAAAAAATGGACTACATCCATCATTAATCATGGTAGCTAGTCATCACCATTCACCAGTCAAGTCATCATCTCTTTTTCTTTCTTCTCAAATTTTTTTTTTTTTTTTTTTTTGGTTTTTTTGGGGTTCCCTATCAAGTCTCAACTAATGTTGGATAAATCTATAACTTTTACAATAAACAAAATGAACTAATTAATTGATTAATTGTACTTTACACAAAATATCAGCTAGCTCCAATTTGATCGTTTGGCCAAATCTACATCAAAATATGTGCAGATACGTAAGCTTCTTTTGCTGATAGCAAATCAAAAAGAAAACTTCTATAAGATGATACGATTATACCATCTTTGGGCCCTGTTTGATGAACCTTTAAATATAAAACCAAAAATTAAAGATATGTCTTTTTTATTTTTAAAACAATTAAGGATGTAGGAAAGTAGATTTATAATGTGAAAAAGTTAATTGTAAATTCAGGAAGGAGATCGATGGAAAAAAATTTGACCTGGGGGACCTCAGAAAAGTACTAAAAAGGATTAACTCTTGAAAAGATTAATAATGACCAATTTATCTTTTGTTCTTTTTTAATTTGAAGAAAAGGTTGATTCATCATGCACAATGATTTGCAACTTGACATAGGTTTGAATCAAACTTGTAAATTGTATTCTGTCTGTCCCAATTTAATACTATCCATGTCTCGAAAAAAATCGCTCGTTTTAAATTTTCAGATTTATACTTTTTAGTGCAAATTTCAAAATTCATTATTGACATTTTCTTTGTAGACATAGGAGTAATTTATTTTGTTGTTGACAATTAAAGCAACTGCATGCAGCAACGTGAAATGAACCTGGCTGGATTTTATGCTTAACCGTAGAACACCGAAGCAAGCAAAAGTGCTACAAAAACATAAAACACCTTAAATTAATAATTAATGTAAACTTGCACAAAACCCTTAATTTATCTTCACTAATAAACTATGAGTTCATTCGGTTCAATGTTTTTGCATACACGAAGGCACGGAAAGTAATGGGATTCAGTTCTCTCTTTGTACATCAATCGTGTTGGAAGGACGTCTTAACTTTCAGCAAGCTAATGATATTTACTTACTTTAAAATAAAATAAAATGAATGAGTAGTTTAACTTGTGACTTGTTTGACCCATCATCTATCAATCTAATTCGCTTAAATAAGTAGTTACTTAAAAAAAAAAAAAAAGATGAGTTAAACTAACACACGTTCGGGAATCATCTTTACCAGCCCTAGAAGCAATCTATCACAATCTAACTCAGTTTTTAATTGGTTGATTATTTTATAATTAACAATAAAGAATGCATAAATATAAAATGCAAAGTCTTTAAACGGGTCGGAAAGACACAACAATAAGAATTATCTAAAAGCATAGATTTTGTCAAATTTTCACATAGTGTTTCTAATTTCAGATACGCTATCGCTGTTGAAAGGTGCGCGCAGTCAACCATCCTCTCACGAAATGAGTTTTAATTTTATTCAGTACCGAATCAAATTGAAAATGCATTTGCAGATTAACATTGTATTAGATTCTGCAAATATATATATATATATATGTATATATATATATATAATTATACAGAGTTGACGCTGCGGAACCAGAGAAATTTTAAAGATTAAAAATGATTTATTTTGTAGTAGAAATTTTTTTAACGCATACGTAGGAAATCAAAGCAGTTCTTCTTGAGTTCCAAATAATACTCCACATCGTCTCTAGTGAAGCAGTTCTTCCACATATATAATCTTCTTTCTCCTTGAGCACCTAAACACATTTCAGATTCCCAAATAGATAGACATCTTAGTTACGTCCTTCCATGGTTAGTTTTCAAGGTCTGTATTGAAAGGATTTCCCTGGATCACGTGGATTACATAAACAAACAAAATGAAACAATCTTATTGGGATGCTCTATTCGAATCATTATTGATGTTATATAATGTTTTTGGATCCCTTTTTTTTTTCTTCTTTTTCTTTCTTCTTCGAACCCTACATTTTTACTTTGTGTTTCTTACCGATATTCTTATACAGACAACATTTTAATAGAATGATGATACAATAAGTAGTATTTAGTAGTAAAAGAGGAAGACAAGTATGCAATGGCTCATCAGCTGATATTTTATTTCGTTAGTAATTTTTACACGATTCTAGCTATTATTATAAAAAAAATAAATTAATAATGTATGGATCCTTTAAATTGAAGAGCGATAACAATCATGTCTCTATTATTATGGGACAAGTGGTGTAATGTTATAATATAGTCACTTCGTACAATCCCATCTCATAATTGGTGATGCAAGCACATAGGAAAACCAGTCAATTGGTTGGGCGACATATTCTTGTGACCGACGAGTGCATGGATATGTTGATCATGACTATTTCTCAGGACGTCCATACTAATTTTGTTTCTGAAAAATGGTAAGCCGGTAGGTCCATCTCTGCTGTTCCATAAAAACATTAAAGAGAATAAGGAAAAAAAATAAAATAAAGACAAACAAACAAGTGTATGATATTTGATGATGGTCGGTTTGGATGGGACATATTTTTAGCAAATTTGTGTTTGTTTTTGATATTTTGATTGTGAAGAATCGAAATGTAAACGAATGATGGGATTGAGAAATGATATATGAGTAATTTACTAGTATTTCTTTAATCCCAAAATATTTATCAAACTTGTTTTAGTATAAAGTATATAACATTACTTTTGTCCCAAAAAATAATTCACCTTCAGTTTTGAGAAAAAACGCAATTTGTACTACTTCACATTGAATTATGAGATTCGTTCCGGACCTTCCGGTGCATATTGAGTTTTTCTGAACATTTTTTTTTCCTGAACAATTGTTTCTTGAAACATGATTGTAACAAATACGTTAATCATTGCGAAAAAAGATGAATAGTGGGTTTTTTTTTTTCCCTCCTCCTCCACTTCTTTTACTTGGGCTTTTGGGCCTTGTTGAGCCAATTAGGGTTTTATATAGGTACACGACTCGTACATCGGTATATGCTACGTATTTTGGTACTCTTCTGTTAATCCATTACTATTATTTTTATTTTTTGGTCATGAACTTATTATTATCGTTCCATCACAACAATTTCCATGAAAATTGTGTGTAGAAACAAAGTCCCGGATCTCAAAATTAAATCACGTAATATCTTCAATTATAATATATTTATTATTTTTACAAAAAAAATAAGTAATAAAAATCCAGCTAGTATTTGGAATTGGAGCGTAGGGAACTTGCGAGTTTTCTACGGGTAGTAGTATAAATTCATGGGGTGCATGTATATACTTAGGACGATTAAAGCTTTCCACCCTGTTGGAAATAACAGTTTTCTCTTCTATTATCATTTTTAATTTTTTATTGTTTTGTTCAATTTAGTAGAATTGTTTATATACGTATTTTTTATAGCTAGTGTGGTTTGGCAGTAGATTAATCTATTAATCGAGATTTGTCTATCAGTAAGTTTTACGCAGTCAATCATGAAGTTTTATTATTGTTTATATATTTTTAATAGTTGATGATTATCGCTTGTCATCTTTGGTTGGTGATTAACTTATTTGTTTCCGGTTCAAATTCGTGGATACGTTTATATTAGTTTATTTGTTCAAGAATATTCGAATTCCAGAAAGGTTCTATTTATTTATTTATTTGCTCTTGGTTCGAAAATATTCAAGTTACGATAATTTTGTTTCTTAAATTTATATTTTCCTTTTATCTTAAAAAAAAAAAGAAGAAGAAGAAGAAGAAGAATAATAAGAGGATTAATGATACGTCTGAGATTAGATTTCTTCTCAAGCATGTGTTATATCTACTAATTGATTTGTGATATAGGATGAAGATGCCTAGCTATGTAGGATAGTAGGCTTGAATGACTTCTTTCTTCAAAAAAAAAAAATTTGTTGATAATCGACTCTATTTTTATTTCTATTTTTTTCATAGGTGTCCATACCGGTGATTTATTATTATTATTATTATTATTATTATTATTATTATTATTATTATTATTATTTTGAGAATGGTATTTTTTTAATTAATCATTGAGATTCTCATCACATTAATGAAATATCATTGAAAAACAAAATATGATTATGCATCAATCTATATTGTATTTTCTTCTTGGTTGTATTCAATTTAATCACTAATTTTGTTTTCCATTGAAACAATTATTTTAATAACGGATAGACTCTTATTAGTTTTTTTTTTTTTTCAAAAATCGTGCAGTTAATTTTTACCCCGAAAAGAAAATCTTCATATTTCCCTGCACCATTAAACTTTTCTCTGTTTTTGTAGAAATATTTAATTTCATTAAAATGATAAATCCTTTGGTACATTGTATTTGAAAATTGTTGTTCTTATTTCAAAACATTAATTTATTATTATGTTTAAATCCATTTTGGTAAAAAAATTCATGTCATTAACTTTCACTCGCAAATTTTTTTGAAAAAAAAGAAAATTATTTTCCCCCCAAGGTAGTCATTTTCATCTATTTTTTGTAAAGATATTTAATTTCATTAAAATGATAGATTTTCAAATTGGAAATATTAAATGCTACCTACCACAGCTCATAATGATCTTGTCCTTATAAATACCAACACAAGATTTAGCTCATAAATCACCAACAATCATTTTTTCTCATTTCTAGACTTTCGCCTCTTTCATTGTACCAAAAACAGTAGCCTTCTTCGTTTTCTTTTTTTCATTTTAAGATGACGAGAACCAAATTCCAACGCGTCCCAATTGTTGACGAGAAGGCAAGGAAACTGACGCTGAAGAAGAGGACCAAGAGCTTGTTCAAGAAACTGGAGGAGCTCTCCATCTTATGTGATGTGAAAGTCGCTGCCATTGTTCTAGATCATTCACAGGACGAAGACGCCGACAAAGAAGTGATGTGGCCTTCCAAGGAAGATTTCAAGGAGAAGCTAAACAGGTATTTGAGCACCCCTGGTTTCCAGCGCATTAAGAAAATGACCACTCATGGGGACTTCCTTGTGAAGACCCTAAGAGCTAAAGCGGAGAAATTAAAGAAACTCACTAAAAAGAATGATGAAAAGGAGATGTTGATTAATATCAATGAGATTTTGGAAGGCAAGCGTAGGATTCAAGATTTAGACTTGACTCAAACTGAGCGCTTATTAACTTACTTGAAAAGTGCTATGAAAACCCTAGATATAAAAACTCAAAACCTAATGCTCCCACCATACCAAAGAAAGCAACCAACAGCTCAGGAATTGGAAACCCTCTCAAAGATTTCCAACATTTTTTTCCCATTGATCAAAGAAACTCAACCAGCTGTTTTAGAGATGGAAAATTGCTCAAATATCATCATCAACAACAACAATAACAACAACAACAGTATGGTTTTTTTTCTTCAGCAACAGAATCAATTTTTTGGTGCTAGCAGTTGTCACTCTACTAATGTTCACCCCTTCCAAGAAGAGCTGGATGAGCAGTTTTTCCCTCATCATGGATTTGGATTCAACTCTTATCATGCAGCTCTGGATCCAATTCCAGAGCCTTCAGCAACTTTGTTAGAAGATGGTGCCTTCTTTGAATCTCTTTTTGAGGATGATAATCTTGAGGAGTTTGGTCCAGCTGTAGCCGGTTCGGCCCAGATTAATGCAGATGCCAGTTTCTCCGTTGCGACTAAAGTTGAGTAGCCATTTCTGGTTGTATTTTTCTTCTTTTTTTTTGTTTTTTTTTTCTTTAAGAATAAAAGGTGAGTCTATTCTTTTCGGCTTTGGGTGGAAGGGCTAGGTACCATCTGGTGGGGGATTGTAAACACCAGATTGGATTGGAGTTTTCAAATCTTGTTGTGAGTCCTCTTTTTTTCTTTTTTTTTTATCTAGTTTTACTGGTTAGGCATTAAACAAGTTTCCATGCATGCCCTTATGTAGTGTTGTCTTCACCTTTTTTAAGCTTAATGGATTTTGCAATTCCTTAACCTTCTGTTTTTTTTTCCTCCCTAAAAATCCTTGTAGAAACTCCATAAGTTAATCCGTTGTAAATTAATAATTCTAATTACATAATTACGTTTGGGATCCCAACTCGAAACCAATACAAAAGTGAAGAAAATCGATTAATTAATAAAATATTAAATTTTCAAGAATTACCCATGTAATAAATAGAGGTATCGCAATTTTATAAAAATTGATAAATACCTAAAATGGGAAAAAAATAAGATTCACTTAGAATTAACTTAATTATTTGTTTTAAGTTTTTTATTGTCATCTTTTTGCTCTACTGTAAAAAATTATAATAAGGTAAATATGGTTGTAACCAACTTTTCTCATTATGAAAAACTGTTAATTTATTTACTAATAAGATTAAAAAATTAATAATTTATTATAAAGATATTAATTTATAGAGATTCTACTATATGTATACTTTTTACTATTATTAAATGTAAGATAAGGAGTGGCCACAGGAGCCATCCAGTAATATAAAGGCAGCCCAATAGTCCATGACCAGCTATGCATATTTCAATAATTACAAATAACAATATTAATAATGATCATAATAATATATATATATAGAGAAAAAAGTGTCCAGTAATATATGTATGTGGGTTCGTGAGTTTAATATACTCAAATTTTAGTTAGTAGAAAAAAGTGTTCTTAGGGTTGGAGGGGTAGCAATTTATGAGTTTCTCGCATTTGGGATATGCGAAGAAACTGATGTTCGCATTTACCATATGCGAACAACCTTACGTAATTAATTAGTTAAACTTAAACAAATAATAAAGACAAATGAGATAATTCGAAGTGGGCCATCACCCAAAGTTCGCATATGCCAAATGCGAAAACAATAACCTGAATAAATTAAAGCGGAAAGAGAAAGGAAAGAGGAAAGTGTGGGCCATCACCCAGAGTTCGCATATGCCGAATGCGAAAATAATAACTGAATAAATTAAAGCGGAAAGAGAAAGGAAAGAGGAAAGTGTGGGCCATCATAATACTTTCGCATTCAACGAATGCGAACGAAAAATATAGGTAAAAAAATGAAATTATCTTTTTATCCTATTAAAATCTGACCGTCAATAGCGTATCGACACGTGGCGATTCTTGACAATTTGGATAAATGTTCGCATTTGGCGAATGCGAATGTGATGGCTAGACTCATAATTTAAAACTCATCACCCCCAATTCGGCAGAACTAAAATCATCAATTCTTCTTGCATTCAGTTGAAATTTTCATTCCGGTGGAAGAGGCGGAGCTGGAAAGAGGCATTTTTCATATTGAAGGTTGGAAGGTTGGACTGCACGGGAGCAAGACAGAGGCAACCCATTTAGGTAAGTTTTTTTTCTCTATGAAATTTGTAAAATTTATACATTCTATTGTCATTTGGGGCTATTAATCTTGTTGTAGTGTACGAAATTACTAAATTTATTAATTTCGGTAGTTATTGAGAATTGGTTTTAGAAAATTTGCTTCAATAAATATATATTTGATGTAGAATGAAGAATAAAAATTATTTTTATAATGTGAATTGTTGAATTTTGTTGAATATTATGAGTTATTTTATTAATTTAGAGAATAACCCGGTTGATCTCGAATTTTTTGGTCTTTATTCATCAATTTTGTGAATTTTATATTCTGACCCAATTATTTGTAATGTTATTGATTTGACCCTGTTTTATTTGTTTTTATTTTGTTAATTTTGTATTTTATCAAATATATTGTGTAAATCTAAATTTATTAGTTTGATCAAAAATTGTTATTCTTTTAATTGAAAACCTTGTTATATAGATGTCGAATTATATTTTTTGAATAATTAAATTATGTTAGAGATTTTTCACTAAAGATAGGACTTATTGTTAGTTTTTGGAGTAAATTACTGCTAGTGAGGTAGAATATTGCTATAACAAGCATGAATTGATGTATTTGTATGTTTAATTGAATAAAAATTAAATGTGCAGGCCCTTAATATGTCTTTTCCGGTCCCTTCGATCGAATATATTCGGTCTAGTGATCGATCATGTTGGGGATATGGGAGAAGTTATTTACGCCCGATGCAACAGTTCGTATCGATCGAGTGTGGAGTTTCTCGAACTTGATAATTATGTACACATCTTTGTTAGAATCGAGAACCAACAAATACTTCCTCTACAATATGTTTTAGTCTGCACAGATGAGTACGGCAGAAGGGGGCAAGCGCCCATAAGAGACGACGAGTCAATGTCATGGATTTACTGAGGTACCCATTTGCGTCCAGCATTGTACGTAGAGGTTGCAGATGAACCTGTTCAAGATGTTGGGGAAGGAACTACTGGTGGTCAGTATGATGGTGCAGGGAGTAGTGGTGTTGGTGGTACCAATGAAGATGACGATGACACAGAAGATGACGTACATGGGAACAGTGACGAGGAGTATGTGCCGTCCGATGAGTCTGATGATGATTACAGTGACCATGACGCATCTTCAGTAGTAATTTCTATTTTTGATGACATCGTGACATAGACAAGTCCGAATCGGTTGAGGATTCGATGGGATCACAATGTGGGACGGTAATTGGCGACGGTTAGACATGGTGTACATTTTGCTAACAAGAAAGAGGTACAAACAGCCGTGGGAGAATGGACATTGCGACGTGGTCGGGCATGTCGGGTAAAATATAGTCGTCCCTATACGTGGGCCGAATGCGAGACGAAAGGGCCGAAGTACCTGGAAGAACTTCTCCACGGCACTACTTGCTTGTGGAAATGTCGAGCTACCCCGCAAAAGACACAAATACTTGGAGAATGGTGGTATGGGTCGAGAGCCACAACCTGTCTTGGTGCAACCACAAGAAACGAAGGTCGTAACTTGACGTCCACAATGATTGTTCGATTGATCACAGCCAATGTCCGAAAAGATCCAGTTATTCATCGCACGAGATCCAAGTCGAAGTAAATAAGAGATACGTGGTCACCCCAATTACAAAAAGGCATGGCATGGTCGAAGAAAAGCACTTGAGAGTTCTTATGGCACATGGGAAAACAACTTTCAACAACCGCCGATTTGGGAAGCATTGCTCAAAGCGAACCCAGATACCCGTATGCGGTTTAAGTTCACTAAAGATACCAAGAATCGGAAGAAGAAGGTGTGCAGTACATTTTTGGGCATTTGGGCCAGCTATACATTTATTTAGAGCTGCTTGGCCGGTCATAACCGTCGACGCCACCCACCTCCGAGGTTCATACAAAGCAACATTGATCGTGGCATGTGTGAAGTGCTCGAATAACACAATTGTTCCCATCGCGTTTGCTCGTGGATAAAGAGACATTGCACACTGGAAATGGTTCCTTAAATACCGAAAACATTTGTTCTACTTGACAAGGAGACATGCATTATCTCCGATCGCCATACGGTATTCTTGCTGCTATGGATGTTATGCTTGATAAATTTCCGTGGATGGGAGTGCACTGTTATTGTCTGCAGACATCAAAGCAAATTTAGCGGCAATTTTCCCGGCGAAACTCAAAAGACCTTGTCAAAGGGCTTGTTCAATGTTGCAAAAAGGGAAGTTTGAAAAAGAATGGATGAATTTAGAAAGTAAAAATAGAGATGCAGCCATATATCTTCACAAATCGGTCTTGAGAAGTGTACCCGTTATTGGGACGGGGATATCGTTGGGGAGAAATGACTTCGAACATATCCGAGAGTTTTAATAATGTCTTAAAAGGTTGCCGGATGCTCCCTATCACTGTTTTGATTCTTGCCACATTGTATAAGACTAACAAGTTGTTTCAGGAAAACATTGATGAAATTGACAAATGCCATTCACCCCTCGCGACGAATCCCATGAAACGGTATGAGGATTACCGTATACATCAGATGGGTCACGAGGTTACCAGATTTAGCAAGAGGAATCAGAAGTACCAAGTGGTCACGTACTCACCACCTGATCGGCCATGGAAGGGTGGAAATATCCATGAGGTAAACTACGCCGCCAGGATGTGCACATGTAACAAGTGGCAGACATACAGGTTTCCTTGCTCCCATGCGCTTGCTGTTGCCAGGTATCTACGTCATGATCCATTACCGCTTTTTGATTCATTTTATAGTAGGGAACAATGGGCTATTCAGTTTTCTGGAGAATTCAACCCAGTCCTTCAACCATGGCCACAAGCGACGTGGCATCTGAGGCCTGATGATACGTTACTCGTACACCATGCTGGCCCAGGTCGGAAGCGTGTGAATCGAAAGGAAGGACTTATGGATTATACGAAAAAATCTGGTAACAAGAGAGTTCAAGTTTGTGGTCGATGTCATCAAGAAGGCCATAATGCCGGTGCATGCGTAGTTGAGAAAGTTTGCGCGCGATGTGGAGGATTCGATCATGATACCTTCAATCGCGCATTCTCACATCCATCTTCGACAGACTCCTTTGAATCATTCTTACGAACGATATGGAATGCATGGTGTACCCCATGTGCAGACTGATGATTCTGATGATCAATCTGCAGAATTCTGAGTAGGAATTCAAAGTTTGTGTTTGCGTAATAATCTGAATAATCTTTAAATAGTGGTTCTGGTAGTGTTTGTGTAATAGTTTGATTAATTCTGAGTTTGTATTTGTGTAATGAGTCTAAGAATTCTGAATTTGTATTTGGTATTGGTTTGTGTAATAATTCGAACAATATGAAGTCTATATTTGTATTTGTGTACTGTCAAAGAACATTAGTAAATGTGAACATTAGTAAATGTTGTAGTTTCTAGACTGTTCCCGGGACCACGAATATTTCGCATAAAGGAAATGCGAACAATATGAAGCTGTCCAGGTCGCACCACGTGGCGTCATCTCCTGGACTCCGTATAGTCGATTATTCGCATAAGGGAAATGCGAAAGTTTGTAATCTGGCCACGGGCGCCACGTGGCATCATCTGGGTTTAGTTCGCGTACAGGAAATGCGAACAACTTCAGATCTAAATCAAGTACACTTCTCTCCCGTTGGTTTTTCCCGGTTTTCACCATTGAAGCCGGCGCCTCCTCGCTCCCGTCGGTTTTCCCGGTTTTCAGCCATTGTTCCGGCGTCGCCTCTTCCACAAAAGGTAGGTAAGTGTTTTGTACTTCATAATGCTTTGTTTATTTTCAGATTTATGTCGTGTTATTTCGTTTTTGTTCTAGTTTATTTATTCAATTGATTTGTTCGCATTTACGGCCGCGAATTTAGATCGCCCGGAGTTGTTGTTTTTGTTGTTGTTGTTGTTGTTGTCGGCCGGCGTTGTTGTCGGCCGGCGTTGTTGTTGTTGTTGTTGTCGGCCGGCGTTGTTGTCGGCCGGCGTTGTATTTTTTTTTTTGTGTTTTATTTTTATTTAATGTAGTTAGGGTATTTGTATTATTTTGTATTATTTTTATTTAGTGTATTTGTTTTAGTTTGTATTGTTTTGTATTATTTTTATTTAGTGTATTTGTTTTAGTTTGTATATATTTATTTAGGGTATTTGTATTTGTTTGTATTATATTTATCTAGTGTATTTGTATTTGTTTGTATTATTTTGTATTATATTTATTTAGTGTATTTGTATTAGTTTGTATTGTTTTGTATTATTTTTATTTAGTGTATTTGTTTTAGTTTGTATATATTTATTTAGGGTATTTGTATTTGTTTGTATTATTTTGTATTATATTTATTTAGTGTATTTGTTTTAGTTTGTATATATTTATTTAGGGTATTTGTATTTGTTTGTATTATATTTATCTAGTGTATTTGTATTTGTTTGTATTATTTTGTATTATATTTATTTAGGGTATTTGTATTTGTATTTGTTTGTATTTGTTTGTATTTGTATTGTTTTGTATTATATTTATTTAGTGTATTTGTATTTGTTTGTATTATTTTGTATTATATTTATTTAGGGTATTTGTATTTGTATTTGTTTGTATTTGATTGTATTTGTATTGTTTTGTATTATATTTATTTAGTGTATTTGTATTTGTTTGTATTATTTTTATTTAGGGTATGGAGACGGGATCATCATCGTCTTCGCAGTCTAGACAATATGACCTCCAACAGGGTCCTATAGATAAGAGTTTATTGGTCCTTCATGATGATCATAGGTCATTCCATACATTTAGGGGTAATACGGCTTATTTGAAAGAACTTTCCGCATACCGAGTGGATCTTGACCTATGGCCCGAACTAGACAAGGCTGCCCCACGTATACATGCCCAAATAGCAAAGTTTGGTCTAGGGCCTCTTTTCGAATTGGTTCCATTAAGTTAGATTGGGCCCTCATTACAGCCTTAGTTGAGCGGTGGCGGCACGAGACCCATTCATTTCACTTGCCTATCGGAGAGGCGACGATTACTCTACGGGATGTCGAGGTCCTTCGGGTCTGCGGGTTGATGGCCATGCGGTGGTCCAGGGACAGTACCTCCGCAGGATGTGGAGTGGGCCGATTATTTAGAGAGTCTGTTTGGATTCCGACAGGCGTCCTAAGGCCACGAAGGATAAGGTAGGAAACATCACAGATATAAAGAGACACATTATGACTAATCTGCTACCCGGAGATGCTACGAGAGGATATGTGCCTTCGGCGGGCACGTTGTTTTGTCGGATGGATTTTAGGAGGGTTATTGTTTCCGATAGCAGCAGAAACAGCTTTTCCCCAGGCTCGGTGGGGTATTTGGAGGACCCAAATACATTTCGGGAGTTTAGTTGGGGTAGTGCTACACTCGGCGTGGTTGTACCGAAATCTATGCACTTCTCGGTGATCACATTGTCTGGACAGGTATTTGTGGTCGCTTACTACTCTTACAGGTAATTTCAAACCGCCCTTGTATTTGTATTTGATTGTTAGTTTTTATTCATTTTATTTTAATTTTTTCGATTTATTTTTATTTTTCTTATTTGTAATTTTTTGTTAGAATCCTAATATTTATAATTGTATTTTATTTTTAGTTTTTTAATTATTGTATTTGTATTTTTAATTTCACGTATTATTTTATTGCAAAATAGTTATGGGCTTGGGAGCGGATATTGACTTTCCGTCCGGAGTTACGTGGGCCCGTACCAGATCTTCAGGGGTATCCCTTGGGCAGGAGGTAATTAATTTTTAACTATTCAATAATTATCTTAATTAGTTATATTTTTTAATAATTTTTTTCCGTTTTTCAATCAAAACTATATTTTTGTAGGTGGAACCGTCCTAGAAAAGTGGGAGACATCACACGATTTAATCTAACCGCCTATCGAGACCAACTTGCGGTTTGCAAGAACATAATGTAAGTATTTTTATTGGAACCATCATAACGTATAAATCAATTTATTTTTTTCTTATATATTCACATAAATTTTTGTATTATCTGTCCCTCTACGGTTTGTTTGGATGCCGTATTCTCCTGCTATTCTAGCGAGACATTGATCCATCTTGCTCTGCCGGCTCCGCCATATGGATGTCCTGCACTTGGCTGCTTTATTTTGGTATCCGAGAGCCACACATCCCGTGCGTGGTGTTGCGCCGGTTCGGCTTCT